TGTACTCAGACCAGTAATATTTGGGGTCACAAGTTTTCGCCATGGATATTTTGTGGGTCAGAAGGTAAAAAGTTTGGGAACCACTGCCTTAAAGTACACTTTTTTTTGTTTTAATCCATTCTTTTTATAGTTTAAGTAGAAATGCCGCCTAAACAGAGCTCCATACAGAGGTACTTGTGTGATCCCTGTCCTTGCAGGAGCAGAACAGCATTATTTACAGGGGTCTGTAAACAACAACAACAACACTGTGTTAACTTGATCAAACACGTTGATTGTGTTCACGAAGTCATTTCACATTCATCCCAGAGCTAAAAACAGACTGGAGGTGTTGTGTTTTCCTGCAGCAAAGCCCCGTGAGAAACGAGGATCTGTMAAAAAAAAAAAAAACTTCAGCTGGGGGGGCTGACGAGCACCCCACCCCCATCCCGACCAATAAAAAGCCACTTTTTTGAGGACAAGTACCAAAAGCACAGCCGACAGAAATCACGTCAACCCGTGCTGACAGACCGAATATTATGTATTTCCCTCTCTTTATCATAAATATATAAATTATGCTAATTACGAGCATTGCATATTAACCCAAACTCATTTCCTCTCGCCATTTCGCTGCTCGGCGCGGGGAGCGAGCCCGAACCCAGTCCGGTTTTTAGACTCAACTTACCGCGTAAAGGCAGCTGATTTTCCGTAATCCCCCGCTCTCCTATGGCTCCTTGTCACAGTTTGTTTCAGTCACATCATTAGAAATTCATCTCAGCTCCCAGACAGGCGCTGTGACTGCACACAAAAGCGAGGTATTTGCATTGATAAGCAGGGCTGCAACGTTAGGCTCTCCCCCCCTCTCCTCTCTCTTAATATTTAATGACGACGGCCTTCCTGCAACAGTTCACACACCGACACACATCCTCCAGGTGTCTCCCCCCGAAGCCCCCCTGAGCTGCAAAGTCGGGCAAAATTGCCTCAAAATTGTCCTTTCGCACTACGTCATGAACATAATTTATGCGAGAGGGGGAAAAAAAATCTTGCATTGAAAAATGTCTGCCTCGACTTGAGCGGTGCCATGGTGCTCTTAAAGGGGCCGCAGCCCGCGGAGAGGCCGGAGACACGCTGGGATATAAAAAAAAAAACATTTACTGACAAAAAGAAAGTTTCCCCATAACTCATATTACACCTGAACCACAGAGGCGTTTCACACAGTAACTGGGTCATGTGCACCCCAAATAGTGAAACAGACTAAACTCTAATTTCCTTTAAATCAAGACTGAAAACCCTCCTGTTTAGAGTTGCTACAGTGGTTCCCAAACTTTTTATCTTCTGACCCACAAAATRTCCATGGCAAAAACTTGTGACCCCAAATATCACTGGTCTGAGTACATGAACTTCGTTAATAACCCTAAAAACACA